GTTAAAAAAATATGGGAGCGCCTGTCTAGTCCTATATGTCATGACCTATGTTGGCTTACGGCTTTTCGTGACAGTTGTTGCCTCTCGGTGCCTGGTACTCCAAGTCCCCGTCCTGCTGGTTCAGGGGAAAGTCTGGGAGGCCCAGGAAACAAACTGCTTTCTGAGAATGGCAGCATCTGCTGGGGAGGTAACCCTGCGGTGTCTGTTTCTGAGCCAGAGAAATATTAAGTAAACCTAAGGAGGATGGATGGCTTTCCAGGGCCCTTTAAATCTCCGCGTTCCCCGGAACAAACCAGGAGGCAGATGGTGGAGATCGATCCTCGGCTTCCCGCTTTGCCGGGTTTGCAAGGAGCCGGGCAGGGTGCGGTGAGGGAGAGCAGACCGTGGTGAGATGGCAGATGAAGTTGTTGGTAAGACAGGCGGGCCTGCATTTGGAGCGAGCTCCGGCCAAGCTTCAGATCCCAGCGCGAGGCACCCAAAGTCAGACCCGGCGAGGCCGACCCGGGCCTGCACGCTCAGCCCCCGCCCTGCGCGCCCGCCCCGCGCGGCCTCCGCGTCCACCTCGCGGCCTCATCCTCCGCCGGCGGCATTTGTCTAAATAAAACAGAAACGAAAAGGAGGCTCCCTGGCTCTTGCTCCTCCGTGGCGTCTGGAAGGTCCGGAAAGAAGACGGCGCGCGCGGGGACCGAAGCCTCCCGAAGCGGCTGTCATGGCGGCCACCGTCTCTTCCCTCGCCCTCCCTGCAGTCCGGCCCCAGCGCCATTTTGAGCATCTGCCTTGCTGCCCAGTCGCCCTCCCGCTCTCCTCGCTCCTCCTACCCGCCCCCGCAGGCCAAGCGCCTCCCGACTCAGGCCGGGCCTCCCCGGGCTCGCGGCCCCGCCGCTCCGCCGCCGCCCTCCCTACCCCGAAGCCCCGTGGTGGCCGCCCTGGTGCGCGGCCCGCTTCGCGCTTCACCCGGCCTTTCCCGCCCACTTGGAACCTGCTTCCCGAGAAAACCCCCGACCCCCGCTCGATGCCGCGGCCCGGCCCATGTCCCCCCGGCCTCGAGTCCCAGGCTTCCTGCGTTCGGGGAAAAAAGCCTTTCGACCCCGCTTGGGGCACTGAAGCGAGGAACCCGGGAAACCCGAAACCCCTCCAAATTTGGCTAAACCTCTGCGCCCTCTCCCACGACCCCAAAGCCCGTCCCCGAGGCCTTCTCCCGGCACCCTCGTCTGAACCTTCTCCCGTCACCCGCCCACCTTTATTTCTAAGAAGAGGTCCCAGAACCCCAGCGCGGGGCCAAAGGCCATCCGTTAGAGGGTGTCGAGGTGACAGAGCTTCCAGCAAGCCCCCCACCCCCCACCCCGCCCCGCCAACTCCTCCGGAGCTGCGGGCCGCGCGGAGAAGCCGTGGCCAAATAGGGTTACTTTTGTACCACCCGGACTTAGCGGCCCAGGGTCAGGCAAGCCGAGCGCGAGGGAGTGACAGCAGGCCTAGTGGGGGGATGCAGGGAAAGGGACTGGGTCCCAACACAAACACTCATTGTCGTATTATAAAGACATTTATTTAATCTATGAAAATAATGTACAATAAATACTTTCCCCTTTTCCTATTATTAAAGAGTTTTAATAAATAATCTACGGTCTAAAACTTAAAAAAAAGAGAGAGAGGAAAACAAGTTCCTCTAGTTCTTTTTTTAAGAAAGCCCCCCTAGAGTTTAATTCCTGAGATTTCGTTGGAAGGAGTCTACCAAACGGAATTTTCCGGTGTGATTTTTCAAAAGACGCCCGAGTGCCCAGTATTTTCGAGAGAAAGGAAAGGAAATGGATTAAACGCTAATTCTGTAATACCTGAATTTTAGCAAAACACATTTTAAAAAAAAAGTCTCAAGGACTTGGGGGTTGGGGGGTCCTCGGGTTTTCCCGCAGACAGCGGAGGGGACGGGGTCGAAGGGCCCGGGAAGAGAAACAGGTTAGGGGAATTGCAGGTCGATGGCACAGAGGGTGCTGGTGAAGAAGTCCAGCTCCTCCTCGGAAAAGGGAACGGGGCTGTCGAGCGAGCCCTGCAGGCTGGGGGAGAGGCCTCCGGAGAGCTGGAGGCAGGAGTCGGCCGCGAAGAAGTTGAGGTCAGGCAAGAAAGGCGAATCCTGCCGCTCCGGGAAGGCATCCTCCGGCAACGGCTCGGGCTCCAGCCGGGCGGCCGCGCGCGGACCGCCCCCCACGTGAGCGGTCAAAGGCTGCGGGCCCTGGGCGCCCGGGGGGACCGGCGTGACCTCGGGCGGGCGAGAGCAGGCTTCCCGCGCGGCTCGCGAGGCGGAGGGGCGGCCGGGGCTGGCCACAGGCTCTTCGGCTGGCTCGCCGCCGTCTTCCGGGGCGCCCGGGCCGGCCGGCTCCCCATCGGACGGCTCTCGGTGCTGCGTCTGCCGCTTGTGCTTCATGCGTCGGTTCTGGAACCACACTTTGACCTGCCTCTCCGTGAGGTCCAGCAGGGCCGCGATCTCGACGCGGCGCGGCCGGCACAGGTACTTGTTAAAGTGGAATTCCTTCTCCAGCTCCAGCAGTTGCGTGTTGGTGTACGCGGTGCGCAGCCTGCGCGCCCCGCTGCCGGCGGCCTCCGGCAGTCCCGGGCCATCTGCAGGGAAAGCGGGCTGGGCGTCAGAGCGGGCCGTGTCCCCGGCCCCAGCTCACTCGGCTGAAGTGAAGACCACCCGATCCGCCAAAAAAACCAGTATCAGCAGTACCCTCCCTCCTTCCCGCCTATCGAAGCGGTTCACTCCCACGGCGTTGCTGTTCTTTCCTGTCCCCCTCCCGCCGGCAGCCCCGGCCCGGGTCAGGGCAAAGCATTCGGAGAGCCCCCCACGGGCCACGCAAGGGGTAGGGAGAGGCTCCCTTTTGCCCCCCAAACCTCAGAGCATCCCTCCTGAGTCCTTGGAGTAGACCCCTCAATTGGGCACGTTGGAGCTCAACCCAGAGAGAACGTTCCTTAAAAAAGATTGTTCCTCACTTCTTCTCCTCCCTTGCTTTCAAAGCCCCCTCTTTTGGAGCCAGGGGAATTGGGGCCGAATCTTTTCTTGCCCTCAGATTAAACAACCCAGCAACACCACTTTCATTCCTCCACACAGATAAAGGTGAAAACCTCAATCAAATCCTTTTCTTCTAGCAGAGAAAAAGCTCTTCCCCAACCAGCTTCCAAAAATCTGCTATAGTGGGGGGGGGGATTGCTGGCAGCGGCCAGGCCTGAACCCCAGCAGCGTATCGCTCCCTCATCCCTGGAATCGACCCGTCAAGGATCCCCAACAGGCTCGACACCTTTTCTACCTCCCCCATCGCTTTCTCCCCCTCTCTTCCAGCTGCCCCTCACCCCACCCCTACCCCGCTAACCGACCTGCTGGCGATCCGACCCCGGAGGCCAAAACGGAGGAGGTGGCCGGGGGAGACGAGGCGGATTGGCTAGGTTTCTTGGCGGATTTCTTCTCTTTCATCCAAGGGAACTCAGGGACCAAGGGGGCGGCGGGGAGCGGCGGCGGCGGCAGAGCGGGCCCATCTTCGGCTCGCTTTTGGCTGCCGGGTCTCTGAAGGGTGGAGGCGCCGGGCTGGAGGCTGGGGAAGGTTTGCTCCAAAGGAGGAGGAGGAGGAATTAATGTCGACTCCTTGATTGATGAAGTTTGAAATGTCTCCAAGACAGCGGGGAAGGAAGTCAGACACTCCGCGAGCGATGGCTGGCTGTTTATAAACCCAATCTCCCTCTCAAATTCAAAATTCATGGCTTTCAATGGTGGGGGAGGGGGCCTTCTGGGGGGGGCGTCAGGAGGGAGGATCGGAAGGGACCCCCCCTCTTGCCCCCCCCAGGTTTATGTGATGGAGCGATTTTGGGAGGGGGAGATTTCGCTCTTTCTCTTTCTCTCTCCCTCTCTCTCTTTTTTTTTTTAAATTTTGGGCCTTTATAATTGTATATTGCTGATAAATACAAGCGTATGGGGACTCTCTCTATTAAACCCAGGACTCCGGCGAAATTGCAGGGAATTCATGGTCACGGGACTGGCCTCGGCCAATCGCTCGCCTGGGCCTGGTGGAAAACAGAGAGCATTATTTGCTTTAATTGATTCAAAAACTCTAGAGGACCACGACCTGGACACTGTGAGCCCCAAGTCCTACACTCCCCTCCCCAAAGCCTCCCTTTCTCCAGAAAGGCTAGAGGAACCTTTCTCTCATCCCCTACAGAGGATGGGAGGTTCCAAAAGCTGGGAAACAAGACAATCTAAGGGAGAAATCTTCCTCTTTTCTAAATACTTGTAATATAGAATACATAATAGACTACATTAATGCTTTCTTTAAAATGCCAGCAGTGTTTTCTTCCCTACCCTTCCCCCATTAAAAGGGGGGGGGAAGGAAAAAAACAAAAGAAAGCAAGCTGAGGATCTCATGTGGGAGGAAGAGGTGGTAGAAGAGGCTTCCATCCTTTGGGGAAGGTCAGTGTTACGGTGCAATAAGGAAGAGAAGAGATTTACAATCACCAGCACAACATCCCATCCCCATCCCAACGCCCAAAAGCCACAGATAAATCTTGGAAAATCGACAGGCACTCGCAGGCTGACACCGAGGAGTGAGACAGACAATGAGGGGCCCTTTTGGACCTCTGGCCACCATAGCTGTGTGGTCTCAGGTCCCTCTTCTCCCCAGTGTTTGCAGCACTGCCCCTGCCCCTATGTCTACCTGTCTTCCTCACGAGGAGTCATCGTCTCACTCTTTTTGATACCCCACAACAGACAGGGTCTAAGGTGCCTGTGCCCCCATTGGAGCCTCAAGTCTGTCTCTGCACCCATATCCAGGGACATGAACAAGAACGGAGGGAGTCTGATTTAACTTAGAGCACTCTAACTCAGGTCAGTGTTTGGGGGGAGGATTTCCGTCCTGGGACAAAGAGTATCCCCCATCCCGTTTTTTTGCCAGCGTGCTAGTTTAAAAACAATAATAGTAATCCCTGGCAAGAAAGAATTCCCTGAACATGGAGAGGGTGAAAACAATGAATAAGGAGATGATTTTCCATTTCTGGCCCCCGAGGGAGTTTTTTTTTTTAATTTATTTTGAGGGGATCAAGATACTCTGAACTTTAGGGAGTGCTGTAATTTACTGGAGAGAGGGGACACAAAACTCGGGGCCCCAAGCAATTGGTGGGAAACTAGATCTCAAAGCAGAAAATGAAAAGTCGATCTGGGGGAAGATTTTTAAATAAGTGGGTCAGAGGGACCGAGAGGAGATGAGGCGATCAATCTTAGCCCCCTGACAGCTCCCTCCGATGGCATCAAAGAATTTGGCTCTTTGGGAAAGCAGAGGGAACAGCCGAAATTCCACATCCCTTTAAAAGGCCTGGGGGTGGGGGGGGGAATAGCAAAAGAGAAAGGTGATTCTGGGAGAGCGGGGAAACAGATGGGAAATGGGGACAGAGGGAAGGACGCTGAGTTGGGTGGAAAGTTTGTCTGGAGAACTCCCACGGCTCGGGCCTCCCCTCCCCCTCCTCCTCTCCGCTGCCGGGCAAGGAGGAGAAGGCTGGTTAGCAGAGAAATGGCAACTCAGCCGGGAGCTGGAACTAGAAACTTTCTGTCAATGTAACAGCCGCGTGGGTGGCGGTGAGTATTCATCCGCGTGGGTGGCGGTGAGTATTTAAAAAGGACAGAGAAGGACAGAGGAGAGCCAGGAGGAAGAAAGGGGATATGTAGGTGGGGGCTGCAGGGACAGGGGGTGGCCGGCTCTGGACGGTTCAGAACCGAGAGCGCTGCTCTGCACTGGGCAAACTGGCCAGAGACCGTTGTGTCCCACTCCAGTCCAAACAAGATCGTTGTTGTTGTTGTTGTTGTTGTTGTTGTGTCCTTTGGGAGTGTGGATGGGGGTGGGGGCGGGGGGGAGGGGCACAGAAGAATCCGAGTAGAAGTTGTCTGGAAGTTGTGCAGTGAGGCCTGAAAGAGGGTTCTCCCTCTGGCCACCCCCCCCCCCACCTTGAGAAGCTGTGGAAGTTTCTTCCACAGCCTCTCCAGCTGGCTGCAGGATGGAACGCTTCTCTGGGCATCCACTCCGGCCCAGGCTGTCCCTGCAGGAAATACGGCTCTCTTTAACCCTGCTGACAGATTTTACGGCCAGATTAGAGAAGAGCAGAAAAGCTGGGTGTTAAAAGGGGCCAAGAGAGCCCTCATTCCCAGAGACACTGCTTGCCGCCTCCTGTGGTGCGGTGAATCTTAGAGCACAGAGATCCCCCCCCCCACGACTTTGGCTGCTTAGCTAGGGCCCGGTATCTCACAGAAAGAAGGGTAGAGGACACCAAGCCAAGTGGGCCCTTATTTTTCCTTTGCAATTCCAGCTTCAAGCCAAAGCTCTGCTTTTCAAACTCAAACTAAATAAATCCCTTCTCTTGGCCTGCTTCTCTCCAGCCAGATAAATAATCAATCCCCTCCACCCCCAGAGCCAAACATGGCGCTTCATGTAGTTACATCATTCAGAAAATGTTATTCAGGGAAGAGGAAGAGGGAAAGACGGAAAGAGAGAAAAACCCTTGAGCGTTATTTGATCCCAATCAAACTTTGCACGCTCTTATGCCTTTAAATTATAGCCTGACCCGATGCTAAATTGCTTGCTGCTTGGATGAGCCGAGTCCAGTTAAAATCCTACTTGGTGGGGGGAGGGGGAGGGTGTAGAATTCAGGTTGCTTTTTTTTATTGTTATTTATTGTTGCATAAAGACTGTAATTACTAACCTTGGACTGCCAGGATGCAACATAAAAATGAAAATCAGCCCTCGCTTTAAGGCTGAGGGCCTGGAACGATTCTCACTGACACTATCCCCCCCCATCAGTACCACCAAATATATGCTCCTAATTAAGCAATGCGGGCGCATCGCTTACAATTAGAATTATGCAACTCTTCAGCGCAGCCATCGCTTCTCTTTCAACGAATTAGCTCCATATTTCAGCCGCCCTGTCTCTTCGCTCTTATCGGCTCTGGCGACGCGGCGGTGACATTTCATCTTTGACAGACCCTCTCTATCCTCGCTCCAATGTGATAAAACTTTTATGAAACCACGACTAAGAAATGAAGTTTTCCCAAGGATCGTGGAAACGGAGCTGCACATTAGCCTGGGGACCATTTTATTTACGCTGGGATCCAAGCGCTTGTTCCATCCTCCTCCTCCTCCTCTCCCCTTTCCTTGGCAGGAGAAATCATCGGTGCCTCCTCTCCCTCCACCCTGAGTTTTATTTAGTGATTTAATTTCACTTTAGTTGTAAGGTTTGACCTGAGAAGTCTAGGCCTCAGATTTTTTTTTTTAATCATTTTCCTTTGTTTTCATTTTAGACCCAATGGTGGTTGGGCTCCGGGTCACGTGACGACTTCTTTGTAGCTCCGGAAGAGAACTGTGAAGTTTAGGTTGCTTGGAAGAAGCAGTAAACGGCCAGATTTTGTTATTGTTGCTGTTGTTGTGTAAGGGGTGGCCAGGAAGTTGTGGCCAAAGGAGCAAGAAGACGAAAGGTCAATGAGAAAAACTGAGAAGCAAGTAAGCCAAACAAAAAGGCCCAAAGAGAGTACCCAAGAGTCCTCATCCCCTACCTCCAAAGCACCCCCCACCCCTGCCCCCTCCCCAGCAACTTGTTACTTAAATCTTAGCTAAAGAAGTTGGCAGAACGTTCCAGGCCTGAGGCATGGTAAGGGAGGGGATAGGGACCTGAGCCCTGGGTACAAAAGCCAGTATAGGGTCTCAGTGTCCTCCTTTCCTTGGAGAAAATGTGGCAGTCAGCAGCCTTGCTCTGCTATCTAAATTGGACCACCAGGACAAGATAAAATTGTTAACAGAAAGTTTATTCAAGAATTGTTTGACAGACAACCCTTTCAAGTAAGGAAAAAAGTAACTACAGAAGAACAAAGAAAGTTCCAAGAGGGAATTAACTCTAATTCTACAAATTCAGGACTATACAGTGACAATAGGAGCTGAGTTCATGCCTTTTAGAACTAATTACAATTGCTCATAAGTACGAGTTTAACATAAATCTACAGCTCTTTTCTAGAGTACAATAACTAAAATAGCTGGTTTTACATGACAGGAAACACAATGTCCTTTATAACAAGTAAATACTAAAAAAGTACAGTTTTTCATTTTTCCCTCATATAAATACATAATGTAGGGGGGATAAATAATACAAAAAAGAAAATATTTTAACAAGCTATAACCAATAAATATATATGAAAATGTTCACTAGAACACACTTTTTGAGCGATGCTGGATTCCTGCAGGCCCAGGCATCTCTCACAGTTGTTTTTATATCCATTAAAATGTAAACTCTAAGTGCAACAAAAGTGTCCTGTCAGGGGGTTGGGCAAGGCATACAGGCCCAGCTGCAGCCCCTGCCTGGGACAGACAGTTTGTTAAAATATACCCTGTTTTCACGTTAAGTCAAGAGAGCAACAGAAGAAAAGAAAAGTGTAGAACCTCGTGTCGCCGATTGCTTTCTGTGGAGAGAGGGGGATGGTCCTGGAGCTGAGATGGGAGGCCACAGAATGGGCAAACCTTTTAGTCCTGACACCTTGCCTGCTCTGACCTCCCAGTTTCCATAAAAGAAAAAAATATATATTTATAATATAGACAGCTCCGACTTTCAGGATCTCTCACCATCCCTGAGCCCTCTGAAAACTGTAATAGATGGGGGCGGGGTAGGGATATTAATGTCCTAAAGCAGAAACTATGGGGCTAAAAATGGAGGGAATACCCAATAAACCTCAAATAGTTGGGAAGAAACTTGAGGCTTCATGGAAGTGGGAGGGGAGCGTGCTTTGTGCCCTTGGTTTTGAAATGAGCTTTTTGTTTTTTAAAAGGAGAATTGGAAGGGGGGAAAAATCAAGATTTGGAGAAATTAACCACAGAGATGGAAGGTAAGTTGGTTGGTTGGTGATGGCCTAGCCATCTTGTCTGTTGTTTGTTTGTTTTAATGTGCTTCTCTACCTTGCTTCCCTATGTCCTCTTCCTCCACCCCACTCGGAAGCGTAGAATCCCAACTGGGTATTGCTGGAGGCCTAGGGTTGATGGGGTCATCTCATCTCCACAATCCGCTGTGGATTGCTCTCCAACGGGTTGGCAGGCAGATGGAACAGGGACTGGAGGACCTTAAAATGTAACTTCTCAGGCCAGGGGAAGGGAAAGGAGCTGCAGGCCTGGCCTTCCCAGGAAGCGTGGCTATTACCTCCTGGCTTTCTCCGTCAGACCTCCAGGATGCCCTCCCGGAGCCCGGCGGCCCCGCGCCCCTTCTGGCTCTCATTTACCCCATGGCCTCTCCCCTCCGCCCTCCCTCTCCCATCACAGGTGTGTTAATTTGGGCGCTTCTTGGATTCTACCCTGAGGAGGAGGCGCATGGTGAGAGGAGAGGTCTGTGTAGGTAGGGTGGGGATCGCAGGGTCCGTGGTGCTGGTTGGGGGCCATAGGGGGCGCCCCATTGTAGTCCAGGTTCCCCGAGGGGTGGTGGGAAAGGTGGTTGAGGCCGTAGAGGGAGGGGCCGGCAGGGGGCGGCAGCGGATCCGCGTAGCCGCCCCCGCCCACGTACACCGGGCTGCTCTGCATGGTGGGCGTCCCGTAGGCGCCCCCATTGGCTTGGAGGACATGAGGCTCGTAATCGGGCGCCGGGGTCGGGGGGTACTTCTGCGGGGCGCCGCAGCCTTTGAGAGGGGGCTGGTAGTTGGAGGGCAGCGCGTAGGCATTCTGGTGGGCTTTGCCGAAGGCGGGCGGGGACGGGCTCTCGTAGCTGGGGGTCATGGAATGTAAGGCGTTCATGAAGCCGGCCGTGGACTGCATGGGCTGCGGGGGGCTGCCGGCGGGGGAGGGGCCCCCGGACGACGAGGCCAGGCCCTTGGCCTTCTGGTCCTTCTTGTACTTCATGCGCCGGTTCTGGAACCAGATCTTGATCTGCCGCTCGCTGAGGTTCAGCAGGTTGGCCATCTCCACGCGGCGCGGCCGGCACAGGTAGCGGTTGAAGTGGAACTCCTTCTCCAGCTCCACCAGCTGCGCGCTCGTGTACGCCGTCCGCGCGCGCTTGGACGCCGCCGACCCCGGGGGGCTCTTGTCCCCTCCCCCGCCGCCGCCGCCGCCGCCCCCGCCGCCGCCACTGCCGCCGCCGCCGCCGCCGCAGCCCTCCGCTGGATCCGAGGGGGAGGGGTGGGAAGGGGACAAAATGAAATAAAAGATAATTACTGAACACGCCGAAATTGAATGCATGGTTTCTTAATAAATCCAGGCCTGGACTCGGAGCCCCCGCCGCCCTCCCCTTCTCGTCCCCGCCTCCTCCTCACCACCACCCCCCCCAACGCCCGTCGCATTAGCGGACACTCTATAATAGTGGCATTTATTAAGAGACCTGTTCTCCTCTTGCTGCCCCAGCTTATGAAAATTTGATCATGTCACGCAGACAGAGCCGCATGGCCATTTATTTAGAGCTGGATTTTCGCGCGCACGCTTTCTCCCCCCAATCCCAATTCCAGGTTCTGGGAAGACCCCCCACCTCCCATCCTCCCACCCCTACACTTCCTGCTGGGTCCTATGGACAAGGTGGGCGGCCAAGGAGAACCCCTGGGGTAATCTGGACACTCAGGGGGCAGGGCGCGGAAGCGCGGCTCGAAGAGGCTGCTTTGCCTGGGGGCCTGCACCCCAGGCCGCCGGAGCGCTTGTGATTAATACCCACAGTAATCATACTTAATAATAATCAATCGTTGACGACTCTGCGTCTGCTGGCGGGTCTCGTGGCTCTGCGGCCTTGCGAAGGGCTGTGGCCGCGCGAACACCTGGCCTTCTAGAGCGCTCGGCAGCTCAGGTGGAGGGCGGCTGGCGCGAGAGGGTGCTGGCGGGGTCAGGGGTCGTCAGGGGGAGGAGGGTGGGTACGGGCAAAGCGCCGCAGCCGCCGCGACCTTACATTGTTCCCAGGCCGCCGCCCGGGCGCCTAGGGGCTGGGTGCTAGAATAACAGTGACATTCCTGGCCCGGACAAAAGCTGACGGCGAGGAAGGCAAAGAGCTGGTACCTGTGCTGGGGGAGCCGTTTTTCAGCTTGGACGTTTGCCTTGACTCTTTCATCCAGGGGAATATCTGTTTGGTGAGGGTGGAGTTGGAGCCGGGAACGCACTTGGGGGTGCCGCTTTTGCTGGGCCCGCCCCCATTACTGCTGTTGCTAGTGGTACTGGTAGGTGCGGCGCTGGGCGGGGGTGAGCCGGGCGGGGCGGGCAGGGGCTCGGGGGCCAGGCCGGGCCTCATGCAGCTGCCGTTGAGCTCCTTGCTCTTGGCATGCGGGGCGGCGTTGCCCAGGGACTGCAGCGAGCACGCTGAGCGCTGGTAGTCGCCCTCCAGGTGCGTGGCGGCCTGAAAGGGGGGTTGGGGGGGACCGTCGTAGCCGAAGCCATTGCTGCCAGGGTACGAGGAATAGCCTCCGAAGAGTGCTGCCGCGGCGTTGTCGTAGTAGGTGGCTTTCTGCATCGCTGGGCGAGGCCCGGGCAGTGGGTGGCAACTTGCAAGAGCCTGATACCCTCACGACCGGACATTGGCACCCGCGGGGGTCACGTGAGGCGCCGGACCCCCCCTCCCCTTTTTGCCCCCCTCCTCCCGAGTCCGTTGGGAGCGGCTGACCTGCGGGGCGAGAGAAGAGACACAAGGGGGAGAAGAGGACTGGGGCTCGAATCCATCTTAGGAGCTGAAAAGGGAACTGACATCAATAGGGTTTTTTTCTTCTCCCCCACCCCAACATCTTCAAAGCAGATGCTGAGGCCACTTTCCTGACCTGAAATGGATTTTTCTTATTTCTTATTTTAATTTTAAGGAAAAAGTCCACCAGTTGTTATTTCCACTTCTACTGCTTTGGGGACTGCCTAGGTACAATATCTTACTACCGCAAAGGCCATCGTTTCTCTCTCCTGCCTGCATGCTAGCCCCTGACCTCTTCTGCCTCCCTCTCCCAACCCTCCCACCCCAGCTCTGGGATAGGGTGGCTCAAGGGCGGGGGACTAGGAGACTCCAAAATAAAAGCATCACCAACACCCTCCTCTGAGCTGAGAGGCCTCCTGCCGCCTGTCTTTGCCTCCCTCCATGTCCATCTAGGTCTCTCACCCAAGCAGAGTCTAGCCTGGAGGAAGAAAAAAAAAAAAAAAAAACAAACCAAAGGATCTCTGGAAAGAGACAGGAAGGAGAAGCAAGTTGAGCAGGGAACCTTCTCCTGTGAGGAGCCCTCTCGTTCTCCTCCCACCTCACGAAGACAACAGCCTGACCTAGAAACTTTCTGAAGATTTTTTAACCTCCAAAGCCAGCACAACCGAGCCTCCTCAGTGGCCCTGCGGCAGGTACCAGCACCTTCAGTCTGAGTCTCTCCTCAGCCAAGTCTGGGACCCAGTGGATAGCAGCCCCCATGGGGCCCCCAAATGGAGCAGGATTGTTTCCATTTCCCTGGCCCGCCTGATTGGTGCGGTGACCATTTGGCCCAAGTCTCTCCCGGCTCCATTTTTTTCCATCAGACCTAATTTTTTTCCCACCCTTTTCCTTGACAGTCTGTTTCCTTTGATTTCTCCAAAAGAAGAAAAGAAGAGAGAAACTGGATAACTGCATGACTTTTCTACCAAGAGATGCGAGAGTGCTTCCTGAATGAGAACACCTTTACCCAAGGCAAAAAAGAAAGTCAACAGGGCAATCAGAACAAAATTATTCTCTGGGTTGGAAACGGGGTACTTTGTTTACTGAAGTTTTCCAAGGTGAAAAAAAAAATCATTATTTTAACACAGACTTTTAAAACTGTGCAGAAAAAAAATAAAGCTCCAAGCTGTCATAGGATTTTGTGTATTTCTTCTAAAACTTCTGACTGCATTTTTTTCCTCCCTGCCTTCCCGCATCTCTCACTATCGCATTTCATAAAACCTCCAGAGTGACCCTGTCTTCTGACATGTGAGTTTGGACTCCTTAAATCTCATTCAGCCCAGCTGGTACTCCAAAGAAAACTAAAGATAGGAAAATAAAATAAAAGGAGTGCAGATGAAGGAAGTCCCTCCCCCACATAAATCCCCTTCTTAATGGCAGAGATTTACACTCAAAAGGGAGCCAGGGTAGCCCTGAGTTCCGATTGGTTTCTGGGAAGAATTTGTTTCTGGGAAATACACATGGGTCTGTCAAGCAGCAGGTCCTTCCAGGGAGAAGAACTGGAGTTCAATTGACCAGGCTGACCCAATCCCTTTATTATTATTACGATTAGTCTCTGATGATTTAACCAAAATTAGCTTCGGAGCAGCCCTGGATGAAGGGGGAATTAATTAACAGGTATCAGTTGAGTTTGTTATTAATAGATAGAGAAGAGAATGAAATAAAAACGTTGGAAGGGGTTGGCTGGCCGGGCCCTGGCTTTATTTAGTCTAAATGATTGTTACGGCAGTAATGATGATGATGATGATGATGATGGTGATAATAAAGCAATAATCTGACTAGATGCCTGGGGCCGAAATTCCTGTCGTTCCCCCTGCAATAAACCTGGAAACCATCGTAGGACAGAGGCCAGGCGAGTGTGGGAAGCGGAGAAGCCAGAGACGTAACAGGAAAGAATGGAGATTCCGCCGGCGGCGAGACAGGGCCGGGAGGTTTGTGGTCAGAGCTAGCCCCTGGCTGCCGCCTCCGGCTGTCTGGGACGCGGCTGCCACGGTAGCTAGCAGGCGACTAGCTCTGCTGGCCCAAGGAGGCGAAGAGAAAGCGTCCAGGACGCCTAAACGGCTCGCAGCCGCAGGTTCCAAGCACACCAGGCTGAGGGCAGCAAGTTTGGGCGCTGGAGGTAACCGAATTAAAAAGGAGCCCTGGCAACTCTGCTCCGGGACTTTGGCAGGCCCGGATCGGCAGCAGGGCGCAGAGGCCCAGCTGATGGGACAGTGAAAAGAGGTTAAGGTGTTGAGGGGATCCGAGATCTAGGGATCCGGGAGAAGCGGGGGTGGGGAGCAGCTCTACCAAGCCAAACATGTCTATTTCCCTTGCCTCCATGTTGGAAAAATCCAGGCTCCATATGGCTTCTCCAGAGAGAGGGAGGGAGGGAGGGAGACGGTGGCTCCCGGCTTCCCCCCAGGGTCTCGTTGGAGAAGGGCGGTCGGTGAGCAGCCCCAAGAACCCCACCTGTCCAGGCACACCCCTGAAAAGAACCGGGGAGAGTAACAATAGCTGGGGAAGCCCGCAGAAAGGGGACAGGCCCTCTTCCAGGACTTAAAAAAAAAAAAAAAAAAAGATTAGTGGAAGGAAGAAAAATAAAAGAACAAGAAAGGAAAAGAGAGAAAGGTTAGGCTCTTCTTAGCAGCCGGGGGGAAATTCAGCCCTGGATCTGGCTGCTGAAAGAAAAGAGAGGAGAAAAGGAGAGAAGCAAGAAGGGAGAGGGAGAGAGGGAGAGAGGGAGAGAGAGAGAGAGAGGGAGGGAGGGAGGGGGAGGGAGGGAGAGAGAGAGAGAGAGAGAGAGGAGAGAGAGGAGAGTCGCTGCGTGGAAGGAAGCTTAAAGCTTGTGAACTCTTCTTGAACCGAGATTGGAGTCATATGGGCCATAAATCATTGAGACATACTCTCCGCCATTCACAAACTGATAGCCTATTTCAGTCCAGCTTACCTTAGCCACCGACGAGGGGAGAACAGGCAGACATAATATATATTCACATCGAGCCCCAGCGCGAGCGGCAGGCGAGAAATCTCCCCTCCTTGAAGGCAAAGGAAAAAAAGACCACTGTTTAAAGCTGCGTCGCCCCCCCCCCCCCAGTAGCCACCCCGGCTGGGGAGCCCGAGGGGCACAGCGGCCGGAGGAGCCGCGCGGCGTCCGCTTCAATTCACTCGGCTTAGGAGCGGGGGGTTCTCAGGAGGGAGGGGGTGGGGAGCGGGAAAAAAATAGAAGAAGACCGAAAGGTGCTCGGGCGGCTCAGCTCGCTGAGAATCCAGCTCCAGGCTCCGGCTCGGCCAAGCCGCCACAGTGTGGTTGCCCTACAAGACTGGTACGCCCTACTCTCCGTAACAATGGCCTCTGCTTTTGCACAGGGAAAAAAACCACACAGACACACACACACACACACTCACTCACTCACACACACACAAGCTCACACACCCCCCCACCACTCCCCCTTTAGCAAGCTTAGATGCCTGATAAGGAGGGAAGAAGGTGTTGGTGGTGATGGGGGAGGGGGCCGTTTTTTAACCCCCCCCCCCGAAAAAAAAAGTGAGAAAGGAAAGAAGGTAGAGATTTTTGGTTTTGTTTTTGTTTTTTAGGAACAGGTAAATTTTTAAATTGAGATTTTGGCGGGGGAGGAAGAGGAGGGCACAGGCAAGGCAAAGCCCGTGGATTTCACAGCTCCGCCGCACCCCACTGGTTAAACCATTATGCTAACTGAGAAGTAGGTGGGGAGGCCTAGTCAAAGGCACCCAAGGTACCTGGGGGGTGGGGGTGCTGGGTGCCCCTCTGCGTTGATTTGCGGTGGCAACACTGGGGCTTGCTGCCTTTTTTTTTTTTTTTTTTTAAAGTAGTTTCACTCCTCCGGGACTGGTGGCTGGGTCTCCCGCCCTCTCGCCCTGGCTCCCCCACTCCAAGTCTCCCAGTCTGTTTCTTCTCTTCCCCCACACCCTCCCTACTTCTTCTCTCTCCCCGCAAATCTCCAGGCTCAGTTTCCAACCGGTAGAGGGGACAGCCAGACCTTCCTTTTTTTTTTTAACCCCCCCACCTTTTGAGAACAGACAACAAGCGGTGAGTGATTATTTTAAAAACCCAGACCATCTTGCAGGAGGGGGGCGTTGAGGGGAGGGTGACAAAAGGAGCACTCTGTTCGCTTGAGCTCCAGACACGGCTGGCAATAGAGAGGCTGTAAGAACTTAACGGAGAAGTTTCTGTTAAGATTCTCACCTCCGGATAGGCAGAAGGGGCTAAGGGTGATAAGGACATTTGTACTTCTAAGAAAGTGAGAAGAGCTACCAAAATGGCTTCATCTTAAATGCGCTGGCAGAAGAGAAGGAGGGTAGTTATTATTATTATTCAGAACAAACCTGTTTGTTTCTCTTAGCTCTGCAAGATTTATGGCTCTTGGCCCAAGTGAGGAGGACTACAAAAGCTAAACTTTTCTTAGGGTGGGTTTGAGAAGGGCAGGAAAAGCCGAGGAGGCCTGTAGGAGGGAGCCATGAGTCAAGAATGTAGGTGTCTGCAGATTTGGGGCGGGGGTGGGAACGGCCACTCCCAGTGGAGGAGAGACAGAGGACCAGGACATCTCCCAAAGCAGGAGTGTTTGCAACTCTGCCTAACTGCTGACTCGGGGCTTAGGGGATAAAATAGAAGGCAGAGAGTCTCTTTTCTACAAAGGCAGCTTGGAAAACCTGTTAACTTCGAGTACACAGAGCCAGCCAATACCCTGTGACCTCCTGGTTAGAATGCTTGGCTTTTGCCTTCTCCCATCTGGATGCACCAGAAGAGATGGGACTGGGAGAACAAAGGTGAGAGATGTTTCCAGCTATTGTCTCCCCTCCAGGAGAGGGTGGCCTTGTCTGGCAAAGCTTCCCTCACACCCTACTCACAAGCTCTGCTTTGAGCTGAGAAAGGGTCCTGCTCTCCTAGAGAGTGCTCCCCGGGCCTCCTGCTGCCCCTACAGCTTTCAGTCCCGCTAAGTCAGTTTTTTCATGGGCTGGAGCAGCCAATTTCTTGGGGCCTTGCTGAGCAGGGGGTGGGTGGGACCCACGGCTTCCCTGCCCCCCAGCAACAGGAACCACATGCAGAAACTCCTACTGTGATGTCCCAAGGACCTTACCCCCTGCCTAGAGAGCTGGTGGCTGAAGGAAGCGGGGGTGGTGAGGATAGAGGGTGGGAACCATTTTTCTTAGGAGTCACAAGAAGAGATCTTAAATGCCCAAGCCCAAGCCTATGTTTCGACTCAAGCCAGGCCCCTCAAAGAACGCCATCATGGCTGCTTGTGTGTGTGTGTGCGCTCGTGCGCGCGGCTGCACAGAGCCTGTCCTGAGATTTCTAGACCCTGGTTAGAGACCTGCGATGTTGGTTCTTTGTAGCTTTGGGCCTGGTGGGTTGGAGACTCAACCCAGGGAGGCTTCTGGAGGCCTGAGAGAAAGGGCACCTTTGGGTCTTTTCTCTTACTCCCCAAAATTGAAAGTCAAAAATGTACCTCAGACCTTCAGCTCTCCTAAGCTGCTGCTACCACTAGCTAGAGAAGGTCATGCAAAACTGAGGGAAGAGGAGAACCTGGTCACTGTGGGGCTGCACAGCATTACCTCCAGGAATTAAGAAACCCCAGAGGGCACCCAGCCAGCTGCAGGCCTGTGAGACTGGGCTGCCTGAGGGTCTGGCCTGGAGCTGAGCTGAGGGAGGCTGGAGGAGCTTTCCAAAGACAGAGGAGGACCCTTCTTCTCCCAGAGTCTCCTCAACCCATCGTGGTCCCTTCTGGCAACGCCAGGAGCCGCGGGGCACGGTGGGGTGGGGGTGAAAAGGAGGACTGGGGATCCAGAAAGCTAACCTGGAGAAAAATATCAGAGGACACGCACCCCCCAAATGCGGTAGGAGGAGTGGGGGGTTCTTATTTATCCTGGAGAACAGAGCCCATTTGAACTGCTTGGGAGGAAATTACGTCTCAGTCTGGTTTCTTTCTTGTCTTTTTTCCTCCTCTCTTGGAGATTTCTGGCTGGGTGGGAGAACAGGCAGCTTGGAGGGTGCCCAGTTCCTCCGAGCTGTTGCTGCAGGCTGGGACCCTTCAAACTTCAGGGGACAAAGGCGGGGGCAGTGAGGAGCTTGGCAGGGGGACTTGGAGTAGGAGACATCACAGAGCTATGAGGGAAGACTGGAGTCTGGAAAAAGAGGGAGAAGAGAAGTTTATCACTCCTGACAAGGAAGTGATGATTTAGGGGCAGACCAGAGAGAGGAGTGAACAATTTCCTCCTGGACCCAAGTAGGGAAATTTGGGCAAACTTACCAGGTATGTGTGTGTGTGTGTGTAAGAGAGAGAGAAATTGAAAAAGAAAAATTGAGAACAGATTAAGATAGAGACTTTAGGATAATCTAACAAAGGCAGAAATTAATAATAAAGGTAAAACTTGGAAAAAATGGCCCCCTTCTGGGCATATTTTCCCCCTCCCACTCGCTACAGCACTCCCCTCCCCCACTCCTAATGCGTACTCAGTACCAGGGGATAAGGAGAGAGTTAAATCTCTTAGAGCCATTCCTGGCTGCCCACCTTTCCAGGCCTTGGAGGGATCATGTCTGTTCTCCACCCCCCCCAAAAAAAAATCCGCCAAAGAGCAAACGAAAACTCTCCTATCAATAAGGACAAAATGGCTGGCTCCTTTAAAATCGATTTCTGATACCAGCTTTGGGGTGACCAAGGATCTGGCCTCCAGCTCAACCAACCCACCGGCTCACTGAGCAGCTGGGACCTGGGAGCAGGGGGCGAGGCGATTAGAGAGCTGTTTCTTCCTAGTCCTGTCTGGGTTCCGGGCCCCACACTTTTCCGGCTTCACCGCCCAACTTTGTGGCGGCTGCGGAGCCGTGTGGAGTTCACACACGCACCGGAACGTCCATCTCTGCTTGCATATTAATAAAGATTTCAAAGCTGGCGGTTGTAAAATTAAATTGCTAATGAAGATGACTCTTGGTATCTGGACTCCCAACCCCCACCTCTCTAAGACGCGGGAGGAAACAAAGGGGAAGCGGGAAGGAGAAGGTTCCATGCGGCCCACGGAGGCCCGCGTAGACCCGGCTCAGCGGAAGCGGGGATCGAAAGAAGAGAGAGGGAGGCCGCCACGGTTGGAGGAGAAAAATGCAAGCTCTGTTCTCCCCCCACTCGAAGTGGAGGGGCGCGGGAGGGAAGCGGGGGAAAAAAACAGGGCAGCCACGAGGGTTCGCTAAGTGTCTCTCGGGGACCACAGAGGCCGCCTGGATGCGCTGACCGAGCGGGCGGTGGCGCCGCGGGCCAAGTCCGGAGTCAGGGGTAGGCGGGCGCCTGGTTGGCGCTTGAACCGGTTCTGAATCTGGGGCCGGCAGCGTCTAGACTCAGCTCAGCCCCGGCCTGGCACACCCCACCCGGGCGTCCTGGAGACAAAGGTGGGCAGACTGGAGACGGCAAGAGGAGAAGGAGCGAATCTTGGCCAGCTTGGGGAGGAGGTGGGTGGCTGGGGAAGGGAAGGAGAAGCAGGCAAGAGAGGAACAGGGGCCCGGCCTACTGCGAGTGACTGGGCAGGTCTCTCCTGACAGATTGCAGTCTCTCTCCCAGTGACCTCTGTTTAGCAGACAATAACTCACCGGATTAATGACCAATCAGCGAAAGGCCTTCCAAATTGCCTCCAAATATAAAACCCTAGAGTCAGAATGGGATAGGGCCAAAGTGTGGACTTGCTAGTCCTTTGGGTGTCTTCCCCCCCCCTCAAAACAGAGACTCTGATTTCCAGAACCCCAAAGATGAAGTTGTGCCCATCTCTTCCCACTCCCCCACCAGAACTCATGTACCTGACCACACTTCCCAAGGCAGTCTGGAAACCTCTGGTCCCCTAGTGGCCTCCCATATCCCTGACCCTACAAGAAATCTCCCTCTCACAACCACGCAACTTTGGAGAAGCCCCCACTTCTTTCGAATTTTATCTACTTCCAGTTGGGAAAAGAGATTAAAACAAGGGCAAAAGTAGGGTGGGGGTCACCTACCTCATAGGCCTCCTGACTTGGCTGCCCTTG